TGTTGCGAAAAGTCTTTTAAACAAGCTTGCTGCAAGCCTGTTGCGAGAAGTCTTGTTAACAAGCTTGCTACAAGCCTGTAGCGAGAAGTCTTCTTAACAAGCTTGCTACAAGCCTGTATCGAGAAGTCTTGTTAACAAGCTTGCTACAAGCCTGCTGCGAAAAGTCTTGTTGACAAGTTGATGGAACGGAATTATCTCAACTTGTTAACAAGCTTGCTACCAGCCTGTTGCGAAAAGTCTTGTTGACAAGTTGATGGAACGGAATTGTCTCAACTTGTTAACAAGCTTGCTACAAGCCTGTATCGAGAAGTCTTGTTAACAAGCTTGCTACAAGCCTGTATCGAGAAGTCTTGTTAACAAGCTTGCTACAAGCCTGTTGCGAAAAGTCTTGTGGACAAGTTGATGGATCGGAATTGTCTCCACTTGTTAACAAGCTTGCTACAAGCCTGCTGCGAAAAGTATTGTTGACAAGTTGATGGAACGGAATTATCTCAACTTGTTAACAAGCTTGCTACCAGCCTGTTGCGAAAAGTATTGTGGACAATTTGATGGAACGGTGTTGTTTCTACTTGTTAACAAGCTTGCTACAAGCCTGTTGACAAATGTTTTAATGTTGACAAGTTGTTGGAACGGAATTGTCTCAACTTGTTAACAAGCTTGCTACAAGCCTGCTGCGAAAAGTCTTTTTGACAAATTGATGGAACGGAATTATCTCCACTTGTTAACAAGCTTCCTACCAGCCTGTTGCGAAAAGTTTTGTTGACAAGTTGATGGACTGGAATTGTCTCAACTTGTTAACAAGCTTGCTACAAGCCTGTTGCGAGAAGTCTTGTTAACAAGCTTGCTACAAGCCTGTATCGAGAAGTCTTGTTAACAAGCTTGCTACAAGCCTGTTGCGAAAAGTCTTTTAAACAAGCTTGCTGCAAGCCTGTTGCGAGAAGTCTTGTTAACAAGCTTGCTACAAGCCTGTAGCGAGAAGTCTTCTTAACAAGCTTGCTACAAGCCTGTATCGAGAAGTCTTGTTAACAAGCTTGCTACAAGCCTGTTGCGAAAAGTTTTAATGTTGACAAGTTGATGGAACGGAATTGTTTCAACTTGTTAACAAGCTTGCTACAAGCCTGTTGCGAAAAGGGAATTGTTTCAACTTATTAACAAGCTTGCTACAAGCCTGCTGCGAAAAGTCTTGTTAACAAGCTTGCTACCAGCCTGTTGCGAAAAGTCTTCTTGACAAGCTTGCTACCAGCCTGTTGCGAAAAGTCTTTCTTGACAAGTTGATGGAACGGAATTGCCTCAACTTGTTAACAAGCTTGCTACAAGCTTGTTGCGAGAAGTCTTGTTAACAAGATTGCTACAAGCCTGTAGCGAGAAGTCTTGTTAACAAGCTTGCTACAAGCCTGTTGCGAGAAGTCTTGTTAACAAGCTTGCTACAAGCCTGTTGCGAAAAGTCTTGTTAACAAGCTTGCTACAAGCCTGTTGCGAGAAGTCTTGTTAACAAGCTTGCTACAAGCCTGTTGCGAAAAGTCTTGTTAACAAGCTTCCTACAAGCCTGTTGCGAAATGTTTTAATGTTGACAAGTTGAGGGAACGGAATTGTTTCAACTTGTTAACAAGCTTGCTACAAGCCTGTTGCGAAAAGTCTTGTTAACAAGCTTGCTACAAGCCTGTTGCGCAAAGTCTTGTTAACAAGCTTGCTACAAGCCTGTTGCGAAATGTTTTAATGTTGACAAGTTGATGGAACGGAATTGTTTCAACTTATTAACAAGCTTGCTACAAGCCTGCTGCGAAAAGTCTTTTTGACAAGTTGATGGAACGGAATTGTCTCCGCCTCTTGCGAAAAGTCTTGTTAACAAGCTTGCTACAAGCCTGTTGCGAGAAGTCTTGTTAACAAGCTTGCTACAAGCTTGTTGCGAAAAGTCTTGTTAACAAGCTTGCTACAAGCCTGTTGCGAGAAGTCTTGTTAACAAGCTTGCTACAAGCCTGTTGCGAGAAGTCTTGTTAACAAGCTTGCTACAAGCCTGTTGCGAGAAGTCTTGTTAACAAGCTTGCTACAAGCCTGTTGCGAGGCTGCTACTCGTTAAGAAGCTTGCTACAAGCCTGTTGCGACTTGTTAACAAGCTTGCTACCAGCCTGTTGCGAAAAGTCTTGTTAACAAGCTTGCTACAAGCCTGTATCGAGAAACTTGTTAACAAGCTTGCTACAAGCCTGTATCGAGAAGTCTTGTTAACAAGCTTGCTACAAGCCTGTTGCGAAACTTTTTAACAAGCTTGCTACAAGCCTGTATCGAGAAGTCTTGTTAACAAGCTTGCTACAAGCCTGTTGCGAGAAGTCTTGTTAACAAGCTTGCTACAAGCCTGTAGCGAGAAGTCTTGTTAACAAGCTTGCTACAAGCCTGTATCGAGAAGTCTTGTTAACAAGCTTGCTACAAGCCTGTTGCGAAAAGTCTTGTGGACAAGTTGATGGATCGGAATTGTCTCAACTTGTTAACAAGCTTGCTACAAGCCTGTTGCGAAAAGTATTGTGGACAATTTGATGGAACGGTGTTGTTTCTACGTGTTAACAAGCTTGCTACAAGCCTGTTGCGAAATGTTTTAATGTTGACAAGTTAATGGAACGGAATTGTCTCAACTTGTTAACAAGCTTGCTACAAGCCTGTTGCGAAATGTTTTAATGTTGACAAGTTAATGGAACGGAATTGTCTCAACTTGTTAACAAGCATGCTACAAGCCTGTTGCGAGAAGTCTTGTTAACAAGCTTGCTACAAGTCTGTTGCGAGAAGTCTTGTTAACAAGCTTGCTACAAGCTTGTTGCGAAAAGTCTTGTTAACAAGCTTGCTACAAGCCTGTTGCGAAAAGTCTTGTTAACAAGCTTGCTACAAGCTTGTTGCGAAAAGTCTTGCGGACAAGTTGATGGAACGGTATTGTTTCTACTTGTTAACAAGCTTGCTACAAGCCTGCTGCGAAAATTCTTTTTGACAAGTTGATGGAACGGAATTATCTCAACTTGTTAACAAGCTTGCTACCAGCCTGTTGCGAAAAGTCTTGTTGACAAGTACATGGAACGAAATTGTCTCAACTTGTTAACAAGCTTGCTACAAGCCTGTTGCGAGAAGTTTTGTTACTGTTAACAAGCTTGCTACAAGCCTGTTGCGAAAAGTCTTGTTAACAAGCTTGCTACAAGCCTGTTGCGAAAAGTCTTGTTGACAAGTTGATGGAACGGAATTGTACTTGTTAACAAGCTTGCTACTTAACAAGCTTGCTACAAGCCTGTTGCGAAAAGTCTTGTTGACAAGTTGATGGACCGGAATTGTCTCAACTTGTTAACAAGCTTGCTACAAGCCTGTTGCGAGAAGTCTTTTTAACAAGCTTGATGGACCGGAATTGTCTCAACTTGTTAACAAGCTTGCTACAAGCCTGTTGCGAGAA